AGCTCAGGAAACCACTACTTTTATAGATAAAACAGACCTTCGTATTTCTTTTTTAAAAAAATGTACTGAAGTACAGGGGTTCTCATACTGAAGCTATCTTAGCACAAAGAAGAGGCAGGCTGAAAGCATTCTTTCCTCTGATGGAGATACTGATTCTTTGTACAAGTTAAGGGAATTTCTCAAAGCTGCTTTACAGTACCAGATTTTGCTACTGCACTGGACTACCACAGATGGTTTTGAAATTGCAAGGAAGTTGTGCCCAACACTAGGGAGGAATAAGAAGGCATCTTTTCATGTGCTATTCCCTAGTGTCAATGAGAACCTGTGGGAGCCTGTGTGGAAAAGAAGGAAAGGTACAGCCCTGGGTCACAAATTCAAATGTTTAGAGGGATTTGGTAGGTAATGTAATGAGTCTCACAGGCTTATGTAAGAGAAGAGATGAAGTGGAAACCATATCTAATTGGAGAATGAGAACATGCCTTTCTAAAGAGAAGGGAACTAATCAGCTTTACCCAACTGTTATGTTGATATGCAGGCCCAATGTTCTCAGATGTTTCAATTTTTCAAGATAAGCCAAAGCCTGAATGATATAATATCTCATTTTTAAAAGTTGGGAACCAACTGAAATTAAAGGAGAAAAAAACTGACACCACAAAGACCAGGCAAAATACAGCTGACCCTTGAATAACATGAGTTCGAAATGTGCAGATCCACTGATAATGTGGATTTTTTTCAACAGTAAATACTATAGTACTATATGATCTGGGGTTGGTTGAATCCACAGATATGGAACCACAGATAGGGAGGAACCTCAGATATGGAGGGCCAACTATAAATCATACACAGATTTTCGACTGCATGGAAGGGTTGGCACCACTAACCCCCGTGTGGTTCAAGGGTCAATTGTACATCTGTGGGACAATTTGTGATCTCTAGTTTATGTACTGGAGGCTAGTGCGGAGAGCCCCTTAGTGGCACAAATAAAAGAGAGTAAGACTGGAAGAATCCTGAGCGGGTAATAAGGCACCAAGGAAGCAAAAGCAAAACCAAAACACACCAGCATTAAAATAAGGCACCGACTACTGTGCTGCTACAAATTTACCTCTGGAAAAGAGAATATTCTTTGGAGTTTGAAATTTAAACCTTGCAAGACTAAAGAAATGGTTTCCATTGTTATATTCATTAGCAGATATGTTTTTCTAAAAGATATGCAAAATAAAGAGGCACGGAGGTAAAGATGGAAAAATGTTTAGTTTCGAAGTCAACTTTAACTTATAACTAAGCCAACAAGGGTAGAAGATGAATACTAATGTTTATTGAGCACTCAGGCATATCAGAACTAACGTACATAAAAATGAATCATACATTGGGTTATCCCTTGAGGAATGGAAGGCTTACCCTTGAAGATTTCAAAATGTATGAAATTATCACTTTTAAAGAGGATTAAACTGCTAAAAAGAGCCAAAATGTCTAATTAGGTTTTTCATCTTTGAAAATCAAGCTGGATCTTAATATCTGTGTATTAATGACTCTCTTCACAAAATATCTTAGAAAATTTGAGAAAAACGAGTGAATAGTGAGATGTACATAGCACCAAAGGGCAGGGGGATAAAAAATCACCACAAATGAGGGTGACCACATAGCTCCTTTTTGAGAGATTACTTGTGCTTAATAAAGATAAGGGCACGTTCAGGATCCTGCCTACACTAGTAAGTTTACCACTAACATAATATATTATTTCTCTGGAAAATTTTAATGGTGAAAATTTGATGAAAGATGCAAACTAGGGATTACTAATATAGGGTTGAATGTACTTACCTATTATCTCAGATTCATAATAATCCTGTGTGCCTTCCTGGAAGACAAGACAGGGTGTCTTTATGATTTTAGAGCATAAATTTGGAAAATGGTAGGTCCATTTGTATGGTAAGTTCATGTCCGTCAAAGAGGAATGAAAAATAGGACCTACCTCCTCCTCTTAGGGATTACTTAGCTGTGTTGTACCAAGGTCAGTTAAAGTCTCCTTAGAAATTCTAAGGGCAGGGAAAAGTAACTATAAAAAATTTATAGCATTCTGTTTCAAGATTCTACCACTTGCATTGAGAACAGTATAAAGAAAGATGAAAAGCCTACATTTTAACCAAATAGAGAGCAGTACCAAAAAACAAACAAAATAACAAACTTACACCATATCTGTTCTTTGTTTAAGAACAGCCCACCTAAGATGGGCTTTTGATCAAGGTGAACAAATAAGCTTACATGCATTCATTAATCACACCAGCTAAAGACTTTCTTCCCAGACCAGGGATCACAGATATATTCTATATTAATGGATAAGGTAGTTCAATATAAGAAATCCTTAATTTTGTATTTTCATTTTGATGATAATCTAAAAAAGAGTAATAATAATAAATATTTGAGATCATTTAGATGAGAACATAGAAATGTTTACAACATAACTGGGGACTTAAAATGAAATTGACTGGTTTGTACCAAAAAAAGGCCAAACAATACCGCAACATCATATGCATTCGAAAGTTTTTCAGTAGTCTTAAGAGAACAGAGTTTCTCAACCTCAGCACTACTGATCAACATTTTGGGCCAGGTAATTCTTTGTTGCAAGGAGCTTTTCTGTGAATTGTAGGATGTTTAGCGGCACACTTAGTCTCTACCCACTAGGTGCCAGTAGCACCATCTCCCTAGTTGTGATAATCAAAAATGTCTCCAGACATTGCCAAGTGTCCACTGGGGGACAAAATCTCCCCAGATGGAGAATAACTGCAAAAGAGAAAAGTGATGAGAGAACAGAGGCAACACAAGGTGCACGGGAGAATAAACATGTCAAATTCAAATGAATCAGTTGTAATGATTTCTACTACTCTCAAACTGAGAGCAACATCACTAAAACATTACCATCCATCACATTAATGTTGTCAATGCAAATTTTATTAGTTCCGTATTTTTGCTCAGATTTAATTTGTAAACCTGTTTTGCTCTGACAGAATTTTTTCCCCTTAAAAAGCAAGTCTATACATGATTCAAGTTTGTTTTTTTTTTTATTTTTTTTATTAGTTATTTTTGGCTGTGTGGGCTTTCTCTAGTTGCTGTGAGCAGGGGTTGCTCTTCTTTGTGGTGCGGGGCTTCTCACTGTGGTGGCTTCTCTTGTTGCAGAGCACGGGCTCTAGGAGCGCGGGCTTCAGTAGTTGTGGCGCACGGGCTTATTTGCTCCGTGGCATGTGGGATCTTCCCAGACTAGGGCTCAAACCTCTGTATCCTGTATTGGCAGGCGGATTCTTAACCACTGTGCCACCAGGGAAGTCCCCATGATTCAAGTTTGAATCACACTTTTCCTGGTTCATTTTTTTCTAATTGAAAGAAAGGGAAGTCAAACTTCTTTCAACTAAAAATGTAACCTTTCTAATTGTTCTTTTTTGGTGCCTAAAGTTTCCTCTGGGATCTTTTCATTTTAAAAAAAAAATTTTTTATTTTATATTGGAGTATAGTTGATTTATAATGTGTTAGTTTCAGGTGTACAGCAAAGTGATTTAGTTATACATATAAATATATCAATTCTTTTAACTTATCATATACAATTCTTAACTGAAGAAATTCTCAAGAGCCCAAAATGGTAGATATGTATTTAGATGCTAAATATCTTTGTTAATTCCTCCAAACAAACAAACAAAACAAAAACAAAACCCCAAATTTGAACTACACACACACCAAAAACCTGGAAAAGTTACTGGATAAGCAATATTCACTGCTGCATTTGTCTTTCTTGACAGATGATTCTTTGAAGTAGTAAGGTAATTGCTAATATATCTTGTCCATATATATGCTCTAGATTTCTCTTCCTCAAATCAAGTAGAGCTGACAATATATTAAAGCAATGTCCAAAGTTGTATAAAAAGTTGGAAAGCTGTCTTCAATATAACTCTATCAGTGGGAGAATCTTAAACTGGTTAGGTGTGGTTAAATGTGGGAAAAGTATAAGACCACAACCAGCTTACAAACTATTCCTGTGCCAGTAAAAGAAAACTTAGTCAAAGCTCGCCTTTTATGTGCACTAAAATCTTATGGTTGGTTGGAAGATGAAACAAAGGTTAAAAAAAAAAAAAAAGTTGGTTTGACAGGTCCAGCTTACGAGAGCATTCCAGTAATGCTCATAAATCTTACAAATTTAACAACTACAACCATTGTATCCCCAAAGACTTAGCAAGTTCTGCCAAAGTCACCTAAGATCAAATGGCTCAAAATTCTTTAATAAGTTAGAATTGTTCTATAGATGTAAAGATTCATTTCCTCCTTCTAAAATCCCCCAAGGGAATTACTGCCACCTTCTTTATGCCAGTACTAGTTAGGAATAAGTTTCTTTTCTAAATCAGTGAAAGAAGGAAAGAAAAAAAAGAAAGAAAGAAAAGAAAAGAAAAGAAAGAAAAAGACCATAAAGAAGGTGTAATTCATTTTTCAGCAAGCTCTTCAACATGCAGCATCAGAATTTTCTGTTGAAATTAAAATAGCATCTAACTTTATTTTCCTTCTCAAAATTGATCTATCCTCCAAGGTATACCAAGTAACAAAATGACTTACTGATAGGAAATAACGAATACAGCATGAATTCTTAGATACAGAAGAGGAAATGACCACAGTCTGAGATAACTGTTCAAAGTTTAACAAGCTCAGAAAGGGGGAGAAAGGAAAACAAAGCTCCCAGTGATCCTTAGTTGAAAAATACAAATTTAGAAACCACTCAAAGCCAAAAGTTTTATGCACGATTTATGAAGCTCACAATTCTTCACTCTACATACAATCTTGGAAGGATGAGGTCAATGTCAGGACTCTGTCACTGGAGAAAAGTCAAGTCAGTCAGATGACCTCAGATTAAGACAGGCAGATACAAGAAACCATAGTCAACAAGTTTTTTGGGGTACACTCATAAAATTCAATAGTTATAACAAATAAAGTACCTTTTTCTTTGTTAGAAATTAACTGTTCCTCACCTGCTTGTGTGCATGATCATAGGAGTTGATATGGTTGTCAAATTCCTGATGTTTCTGATATTGCTTATCACAGAGTTCACAGTAAAAGTTGGCTCTGAGGTCTTCCAACGCTTTGGCAATTGCCTTCTCTTTATCAACATAATCCTGTAAGAACCACAAAATAAAACAAAAAATGACTTGGTAGAGTTTTAAGTGAATGTTATAAAAAAGCAGTCTTCCCTGAAGAGGGAAAAAGGGCCTTTCATAACATTTAATGGTACCAGTTAAAGTCAGATAGAGCAGAAGTAGCAATATGGTGGGGTAATTAGCGTGTGGTTATACTAACGGTTGTCTTCAAACAAAGTTCAGAGTTTAATTTTACTTTCTCTTTTGGCAGTGTGGTGGACTACATACTGTGGCATCCCCTACTCCTATCCCTGGCTAAAAACCCCTCAACCAACCAGATATATAAAACACAATTTTCACTGCACTGCAGGAACCACAGAGAGAAAAGTAAATCCCCAAGAAGGGCAAGCGGAGAAGAAAAAAACAAAACAAAATTTAAAAATCAGCTATGACCTGAAACTGAAATCAGAGCTGTGATGGGCAAGAGCTCTCCTTAGGACATGTGGGTGACACTGGTGCTTGAGGTTTGAGCAAGGTGGGGGAACTAAACTTGAGAAGCCTCACTAGTAAGGAAAAGAACCTGGAAGTAGGCTGGAAATCCCAGGATCTCTGGGTCTTGGCAGTGGGAACAAAATATATTCTCAGAAAGCACCCTCAATTTTGGTCCCAAATTTTTTCCTAGATTAGGATCAATAAAATATGAGTTACAATCAAAGATTACTACACACACAAAAGGAAATAAATCTATCACAAGCAAGAGTCACAAAAAATAAGCAATAGATTTAGTTCCCAAGAACTCAGATTTTGGAATAGTCTGTTACAGAATATAAAGTAACTATAAAATGTTTAAAATATAAAATGGAATTACAAAAATTAGCAAACATAAAACACTCTAAAAAATCAAAACCAAAAAAATAGGCAGATTGCAGAAAGAACCAAATGAGATTTTTACAACTGAAAAACCTAATTGTAAAAAATAAACAAAAAAATTCACCAACTATCTAGGGGATGGGTTAAAAGACAGTCAAAATACAGCTCAAAAAAATGTAGCAGGGTGGTGAAAACGTTCTGGAATTAGATTGTAACAGTGGTTGCATGACCTTGTGGAATATACTAAAAACCACTGAACTGTACACTTTAAAAGGGTGAGTTTTATAGTAAGTGAATTATATTTCTATTGATATAATGGCTGAGAATTTTTCAGAACTGATGAAAGACATGACTCCAGAGGTACAGGAAGCACAGGTATACCACACAGGCTAAATAAAAATAAGCACCTAGAAACACTCACTGAGTCCCATAACTATGAGACCAAAGACAATGAAATCATACTACTACCCAGAAAAAAAGTAAGGATCACCCACAATCAGATTGACAGAAGATTCAAAAGCAACATCAAAAGATGGAAGATAGTATGCTTTGGTGTGTGAGAGAAAACATTTTCATTTGTATACCAAATGAAAATATTTTTCAGAAATGATGAAATAAAGGCACTTCCAGATAAAAAGAGAATTTACCACCTACAGATTCATTAAAAAGGAACTTCCTAAAGCAGTATTTCTGAAATCATAGATTGTGACCCACTAGTGGGTCATGACATTGATTTCGTAGATTTTAACAGGCAGAAAAAAAGGAAAAAAAAAAAGAGTAGAAAAATACAGAGGATATTTCACATAATAAAGGTAAATACTGTCTTCTAAAACTTTCGTTTCAGTTGTGTTTGTGTGGTTGTAATATTAAAAATATTCTTACTGAGGACTTGAAAGTCACTGTTTTGGGAAGGAAAATGATGCCAGACAAAAGGTCTGAAATACTAAAAGTAAGTGGTAAGAAATGAAATTAATAAATATATAGATTAATAATCACAACAGTAACACCACCACCTAGCTTGCAGGATGGAAAAGAGTTAAAAAAAAAAATGCTAGCAGACACAGCCATATATAATAGGAAAGAGGGTTTGAAATTAAAGTGTTCTAGAGTCCTTCTACTGATTGAGATAGAGTTAACTTTAGACTTTGTTAAATTAAGCATAATTTGTATAAGAATTCCAAGGGTTGCTATCAGAAGAATAGGAGTAGCAAAGGGGGAAAGATTAAGAAAACTTCAATTTTATAAAGGTAAGACAGACAACAAAAAACAGGAAAATAGAAAGTAAAAAGATGTAAGAAACAGACTTATAAGTAACCACAAGAAATGTAAATTATTAAAATAAAAAACTGTCAGAAAAACAAATCCAACTACATGCTGATTATAAGAAATATCCCTAAAACGTGAGGACTTAGAAAGTTGAAAGTTAAAGGACAGAAAAAGATATGCCAGGCAAATTACTAACCAAAAGAAGCTGGAGTAACTATTAACGTTCAACTTTTTAGACTTTATAGCAAAAAGCATTACTTGAGACTGTGGCCAGCTATGGGGTTAAACATTATAAGATTATTCTCCAAATAAGCTGCACTGCTAATTTTGAAAAGCCAACACAGATATGTTGGTTATCCATTAGTCTTAATGAGGTTTTGGCTCAAAACTGTGGGACTGACCCAAAGAGGTGGTCCAATTTGCCTCAGCAGTTCCACTTAAAAACTAGACATCAAAAGACATCTCAAAGCAAGTTGAGAATATTCATTTGCTATAAAGCAGCACAGAAGAATGAGAAGGGGAAAGGAATGATAAATGATTGCTTGCTAGCCTTCTACAGCAGGGTAGATGAGTAGCTCTTTCTAGTTAACAGACCTAAAGATAAATCTCATTTCAAAGACTCTACAATCACCCTTTCTTTTATTCAGTTTAGTATCTTCTGGATACACTTTCAAAGCATCTCTATCATCTAACATCTCTCCACTATTTCTCACATGAGCTATTTAATCAGTATGCAAGAGAAGGCTGATGTATTTTGCGGAATGCCAGTATTGAACTCATTTGGATAAATTAGTTAAAATTGAAAAGTGAATATATAACACATTATGATTTTTTTCCCTATTCGATCCTTCTCAATAGTTTTCTCTCAGCATCCTGGGCAATTTCATGTTGTCTGGCTATTAAGCAACTTGTGGATGTTCTTCCTTATCAGTGCTGGTTTCCCAGACAGAAGTCAGAAAGCTCACTTTCCCAACTTCTCTTAAAACTAGGGTGCAGACATACGGTCTACCCTCTTTTCCTGTGAAATGCATCTGCATGAGACTTTCATTCAAAAGTGAGCAGTATAAAGAAGCAGGTGCCAGGACCTCCCTGGTGGTCCAGTGGCTAAGACTCTGTGCTCCCGGGAATGCAGGGGGCCTGGGGTTCAATCCCTGGTCAGGGAACTAGATCTCACATGCCACGACTAAGAGTTTGCATGCCTCAACTACAGATCCCACACGCAGCAACAAAGACCCCGTGTGCTGCAGCTGAGACCCTGATCAGCCAAATAAATTAAAAAAAAAAAAAAAGCAGCAGCAGGTGCCAAGTAGAATCCATCTTCTAGCAACAGTGGCTGCAGAAGCATGTTTTAATTCTACTTTGGTTTTTATTTTTAATTCCATACGACATTGGTTTTTTATAATGTTTATATAGATTTGGAAGATTTACTCTTCCAAAAAAGAGATCAGAAGACTGGATATTCAAAAAAAAAAACAGGGCTTCCCTGGTGGCGTAGTGGTTGAGAGTCCACCTGCTGATGCAGGGGACACGGGTTTGTGCCCTGGTCCAGGAAGATCCCACATGCTGCAGAGCGGCTGGGCCCGTGAGCCATGGCCGCTGAGCCTGCGCGTCCGGAGCCTGTGCTCCGCAAGGGGAGAGGCCACAACAGTGAGAGGCCCGCGTACCGCAAAAACAGAAAACAAAAAAACCACATACAATCCAATTAAGTATTGATTATAAGAGATTCCTTATTGCATCTCAAGTCTTTCAAAGGGAATCACATTCCTTCTTTCTTAAATACTTCCTTTGAAATTTCTTTTAGAAGAGTCTTCCGGTGGCAAACTGATTTTTTTATCCAAAAATTTATCTATTTTTAATCTCTACTCTTTTTTTTTTGCGGTATGCGGGCCTCTCACCATTGTGGCCTCTCCCATTGCGGAGCACAGGCTCCGGACACACAGGCTCAGCGGCCATGGCTCACAGGCCCAGCTGCTCCATGGCATGTGGGATCTTCCCGGACCAGGGCACGAACCCGTGTCCCCTGCATTGGCAGGTGGACTCTCAACCACTGCACCACCAGGGAAGCCCTAATCTCTACTCTTAAAGATGTTTTTGCTGGGTGTGCAATTCTAGGTTGATGGTTGTTTGCTCTGAGCACATTCAACATTCCATTACATTATAACAGAATTGACACTGTATTCTGACTTCCATGTTACTACAACAGTTCTTCAAAGATTGTGTATTTTTCTGTGGTATTGTACAGTTTTACCAGGATGTGTCTACATGTAGACTTCTTTTTTATCTTGCTCGAGATTCATTAGGCTTCCTGAATTTGTGAGTTGTTTCTTTCATCAAATTCTGGGATCTCCTCTTTGAACACTGCCTCTGCCCTATTCTTTTTCTTTCTTTCGTTCTGGAACTCTGTCTAGACACATGAGAGCTTCTCATTCTTTATCATCTAACTCTTAATCTCTTCACGTATTTTCCATTTCTCTCTCTTTCTTTCTTGCCCTCCCTCTCTCCATTTTTTCCTGCATCCTGATACTTCTTCAGATGTGTTACAATTTAATATTCAACTTTGTGCAAAATGCTATTAAATCCTCCCATTGAGTTTTTATATGGTCTCTTGCCCTTTACTCATGATCTCAATCCCTTTTTATTCATAAACATATTAAATATGCTTGTTTTACACACTGTAATCTGAGCTGACAACTCCAATATCTTAAGTCTTAAGGGGTCTGACTCTACTCTTCTTTTTTCTCCATTAACTGTAGCCCATAGTGTCTAGTTTCTCAGTTGGATTTGTGATATGACTATGATCTTCTGTTTTGCGGAGCTTTATCTAGGAGTTCTTTTTTTTTTTTTGGCTGCGTGGCTTAGTTCCCCAACCAGGGTGTGAACCCAGGCCACGGCAGTGAAAGCGC